GTTTCTTGCAGCTATAGTTACAAGTAGGAGGACGCTAATGGTGAGACTCTCACTTTTGGGAAATTAATTTTCCTCATATTTTTTTACATCTGTCTCTGCTTGTCCCTCTTTATGCTCAAATGTTCCTCCATAGTTTCTATTATTGTTTTTTAAATTAATTGATTATTGCACAGGCTGTAGTGCATGTGGGCTCAGCAGCTGTGGTGCATGGGCTTAGTTGCTCTATGGCATGTGAGATCTTCCAGGATCAGGGGTCGAACCCCTATCCCCTGTGTAGGCAGGTGGATTCTTAACCATTAGGGAAGCCCTCTTTTTTTTTTCTTCATAGTTTCTTGTTTCCAGTTCCTATTTCATAATTGCCCCCAGTTTCAGCTGCTTTTCTCAGTCCTTACATGTAACTTATTCTCTTCCAATTAGACTCATCTCCTAGTTTTGCTGAATGTGGAGTTTGCAAAGATCTTTTCATTCTTTTTCTTGTTTTTAGATTATTTTCAGAATAGAAGACCATGGTAATAATGATACTTTAAAGCTTCCATGCTTTTAAATATTAGATTTGTTTCTTACTGTATTCATTTTTTTAAAAATCTAATCTGAAAGTTTGTCTTTTAAAAAATTTATTTATTTTTAATTGGAGGATAGTTGCCTTACCATGTTGATTTCTGCCATATATCAAAATGAATCAACCATAGGTATGCATATGTCCCCTCCCTCTTGAACCTCCCTCCCACCTTCCACTCCATCCCACCCTTCTAGATTGTCACAGAGCATGGGGTTGAGTTCCCTGTGTCATACAGCAAAAAAAAAGAAAGAAAGAAAGAAAGAAATCTGTTTTACATATGATAATGTAAAGGTTTCAGTGCTACTCTCTCCATTCTTTCCACCCTCTCCTTCCCCCACTGAGTCCACAAGTCTATTCTCCATGTCTGTGTCTCTACTGCTCCCTTACAAATAGGCTCATCAGTACCATTTCCCTAGATTCCATATATATGCATTAATATACAATATTTGTTTGAAAATTTCTCTTTTACCTAAAGAGTTTAGTCTGTACTTATTATGATAATAACATATTTAGATTTGTTTCTATCATCTTATTTCCATTTACATGACCTCTTTTTTCCTTCTTATGTTTTGTCTTATATTTCCCCTATTGGATTGATTTATATTCCTTTTATTTCCTATCCCCTTCCCCCTGGTTAAATCATACAGTCTACTTGCTTCTTTGTTTTTGGTGGTTTCCTTAGATTTTTTAATATACACCTATAACATAATATTAAATATGGCTTTCAATGTTCTGGGAATTTCATTTGAGGACAGCAGATGTCAGATAACTTATGACGAGCATGCTAAGACCTTGTAAAGGAGATTTTTGTTACCTTTGTAGCTCATTACCCTCTCAGGTGCAGATTTTATTTTATTTTATTTTTTTCCATTTATTTTTATTAGTTGGAGGCTAATTACTTTACATCATAGCAGTGGTTTTTGTCATACATTGAAATGAATTAGCCATGGATTTACATGTATTCCCCATCCCGGTCCCCCCTCCCACGTCCCTCTCCGCCCTATCCCTCTGGGTCTTCCCAGTGCACCAAGTCCGAGCACTTGTGCAGATTTTAAATAATTTCTTTAGAAAGAATTATTCATATGCTCTGCGGTATTTCTCCTTCCTTCTCTTCTTTGGGAGATATGTGTCAGAGAATTATTTGGAGAGCTTGATGATACCCATTCAGTTATCTCCTGAATTTGGAGGTGTGTACATTCTTAACTCATGTATGGAAAAAAGATTTAAAGCTGTGTAAGCTTTCATGAAGCTGGTCATAAGCCAGCTCTGTCTGTGGAAGTATTACTCTCCAAGGTAATGGAGGAGTCTCAGTTCTGAGTCCCTAGCTCTCTTTTCTATTTATTTATCTATTTAGTTTTGTCTGTGCTGGGTCTTTGTTGCTGCACACTGGCTTTCTCTAATCATGGCGAACGGGGGCTAATCTTCATTGAGGCGTACAGGCTTCTCATTGCAGTGACTTCTCTTATTGCAGAGCATGGGCTCTAGGCACACAGGCTTCAGTAGCTGCATCTTGTGGGCTTAGTTGTGGGATCTTCCTGAACCAGGGATCGAACCTGTGTCCCCTACATTGGGCAGACAGATTCTTAACCACTGGACCACCAGCAAAGCCCCGGGTCCCTCTCTCTCATGGCCCAAGTCCTCTCTCCTCTTTAGCCAAGGCAGTACTACCCTAATTCCCAGCCATTAGGGTCAGTTTTTTTTTAATTTTTCATAATATCACAAGTCTATTAATTTTATATATTATTAAAGGAATAACAATGTGAAAATAAAACCCAAATCAACACAAAACTCATTTTTACAATACAATCTCTATGCAATTTATCATTCCTCTAACACATGATATCTCCTACACTGTCTATTTCTCAACACATGCAAAGTCAGAAATATATAACAAATCATCTAAGCACTTCCCGGTCTTATAGTAATTCATAGAGAATATAACTATGTAGTTACACTCACAAAATCTGACTTTTTGTAAGCCACAAAGAGATGTTTTTGGCCTGACCATCAGTTGTTAGGAAGCTTTCCTAACAAATAACATTTTGGTCTTACAGTAATGCATGACATGGATATTGAAAAGAGAGCTCAGGCTAAAAGCATTTCTGTGGTTAAGAAAAAAGTTAGAGGTCAATTGAATACAATAGTAGTCAACTATTTTTTTCCCAACAACTAATTTTCATTTAATACTTGCTAGCCACCATTCTAAGCACTTTACATGTGTTGACTTATCATTATACAGAGTGAAGTAAGCCAGAAAGATAAGGATCAATACAGTATACTAACACATATATATGGAATTTAAAAAGATGGTAACGATAACCCTATATGCAAAACAGAAAAAGAGACACAGATGTACAGAACAGACTTTGGAACTCTGTGGGAGAAGGCGAAGGTGGGATGTTCTGAGAGAACAGCATTGAAACAAGCATACTATCAAAGGTGAAACAGATCACCAGCCCCGGTTGGATGCATGAGACAAGCGCTCAGGGCTGGTGCACTGGGAAGACCCAGAGGGATGGGGTGGGGAGGGAGGTGGGAGGGGGGATCGGGATGGGGAATACATGTAAATCCATGGCTGATTCATGTCAATGTGTGGCAAAAACCACTACACTATTGTAAAGTAATTAGCTTTCAACTAATAAAAATAAATGAAAAAACAAAAAATAAATAAAATAAAAAATAATAAATAAAATTTAAAAAAAAGAAAGAGAAAAAACCTTGTGTTTACCAATATATGTTCTTCAGTTAAAGACTATTGTCCCATATTTTAGACCATTATGACTTAATTAATTGTTTTATTCATTTGTTAACTTAAAGACATTTTAAAAGTGCTACATAATTTAATTCCAGGTGCTGTGAACACAACATCATTATAGGCAAAAGTCTGTCTTTATTGACCTTACATTCACGTGACAATAAAAAGATATATACTTCTTGCCCACCTCTCTTTAGGTTTACCAAAGTGGATTCATAAAAGGATTAAGGTTTTCATTTATGATAAAGTTCTTATTATAAATATGTATGATGCTGCTACATGGAACACAGCAGAGTATATCAAAAGGCTAGGCGTGACCATTAGGGTCAGTTTGAGGCTCTGAAAACTACACCTCTTCAGGACCATCACAGAAGCAGTTTGCACCTATTGCTGTGTCTTTCTCCCTAACCCTTTCTTCATTTCTGGCTCCTGGAATTGAGCTCCTTGTTATTCTACCCAGAATCTCTAAGGAGTTTGTGGTGGGGGACTTTGAGCTTATTTTACTCTGGCATCTTGTTCAGTGTCTGCCTTCTGTGTTAAATAGTAAACTCTGTGCAGGCAGATAGACATTCTCGTTCACTGCTTTGTCTCTAGCTCTCAGCACAGAGCCTAGCATATAATGAACACTCAGTGAATCTGAGTTGAACGGATGAGTGACTTTCACATACATGAAGCCTTCAGTTGTGATGAGGTTAGACACAGTTGTGTCTACAAAATTATGTCTTGAGAAATGAGCATGCCAATGAAGAGAGTTACAGGAGGGCTGGAAAGCTGGGCTCCTGTGTTGTTTTACCTATGCTACAACTGACTCACCTAAGCTCACCTAACAGCTTGCTTTCGCTACATTTTTTCCTAATTGTAGATTTCATAAAAACCCCTACTTCATTCCTATCTCTTTTTAGAAATAATATTTAGAAAAAAAAAGAAATCATATTTAGGTATAATTTGCATGCACTAAAGTATACCCATTGAAGTGTATGTTTTGGTCAGTTTTGACAAATTTATATACCCCTGTAACAACTACCAAAGTCATGATATAGAACATTTCCATCACTGCAAGATATTCCCTTTTACCCCTGCCTATGAAATCCCCCAAATTCTTAGCCCCAAGTAGCCACTCACCTGCTCTCTGTCCCTATAGGTTCAATGATTCCTTTCTAGAATTTCATATAATAGATGGAATCAAATAGCATATGTTCTATAATGTTTTGGGGATTCATCCATGTTGCAAGTATCAGTTGTTCACTCTGACCCCCTTTTTTTTTTTTTGGCTTCACTGGGTCTTCACTGCTGCACTCAGGCTTTCTCTAGTTGAAGCAAGCAGGGGCTATTCTTCCTTGCTGTGTGCGGGCTTTTCATTGCAGCAGCTTCTCATTGCGGAGCGTGGGCTCAATAGTTACGGCGCATGGGCTTGTTGCTCCTTGGCATGTGAAATCTTCTTGGAGTACGGATGGAATCCATGTCCTGTGCATTGGCAGGCAGATTCTTATCCACTGTACCACCAGGGAAGTCCTGGCCTCTTATCTTTCTGAAATAAGAGCTTCGCCTGTTTCTAAAGGAGTAATTTTGCTTCTCTTCTTCTCTAAGTTTCCCTGTTGCTCTTCCCTCTCTGTTTCCTTATTTTCCAGTCTCACATCAGACGTTGTAATTCAGTCACTTTTGCTTCCACAGATTCAATAATCCAAGATGTCTTTTAAGTGCTGGGATATCACGAGAACGTCAACATCACCCAGACTTATTCCTAAGTGGAAGGACTTGAAACCCCTCTTAAAGGATATCCTGAAGGATAAACAGGTGAAGTGTATGAGAGATATGCGCGTGGTGGGCTTGGACTAATTATCTATCCCTGCCAGGGCGGCCTGTGGCATGAGCAACATGTGAGTCACTTTGGAAGGGCCCTCACATAGCCCTAAACAACTCCTAAGTCTAGATTAATATGATAACGTTAGTTATAATTAGAACATGCTCTGCAAAAACAAAATGAAAACCAGAAAATGGCCTTAAATGGATTAAACAAGCAGGAGGCATCTTTGTCTTACATGGTGTCAGAGAACCATGTTCCTTTTTACTCTTTTTTTTTTTAACCTCTTTAGTATTCAGCTTACTATCATAAGGGTACAAGATAGTTGCCAGACTTATACCTTTAAATTAAAAGTAGGTGGAAGAGAGAAGGTCAGAGAGCACAGGGTTGTGCCAGCCTTGAAGTACCATGGTGCCACTCTGTTGTCATTGTTGTTCAGTTGCTAAGTCATGTCTGATTCTTTGTGACCCCATGGACTGTGTAGCACACCAGGCTTCCCTGTCCTTCACTATCTCCTGGAGTTTGCTCAAACTCATGTCCATTGAGTCAGTGATGCTATCTTACCATCTCATCCTCTGTTGCCCACTTCTCCTTTTGCCTTCAGTCTTTCCCAGCATCAGGGTCTTTCCCAATGAGTCAGCTCTTCACATCAGGTGGCCGAAGTATTGGAGCTTCAGCGTCAGTACCACTCTCCAGAATTTCTGTGTCCATGATCACCTTAATCAAGTTTCAAGTTTTATTGGAATGGAAGGAGGAGGAAGAGCAAGGAATGGGGATTGACACAGAGTAGGTCACAGTAGTGCCAGGTACAGATACACTGCTTGGGCTTAAGATATCCTTTTCTTTTAGAGTTCCTCTGTAGATGAGCATTGATAGTGCTGAATGAGTGAGTGAATTATTTGTACATGAAGTCTGGAAAGGAGGAGAGGAATGGTGATTAACTAAGGAATAAAGGGTGTGTAAATGAGGTTTCTGGTTCAGTGAAGAGGGAAGATCATGATTAGACACCATGATCCTCTCAACTCTGTGGCTGTCCCTGAATCATGCTTGAAGTTCTCCAGCTGTCTGTATTCTCTCAGAACATACAAAGATCTGACAATGAGAATTTTAGGGAGAACAGAGATTCTGAGTTGTGGATAATGGCTTCAGCACAGTTTCAAAGCCTCTGTGGATGTAGGCAGCAGACATGATGGGCATTTTGAGTGAAGAAGGATTAATACTTGGAGTACAAAATGAAGCAGGGCAAAGGCTAACAGAGTTTTCCCAAGAGAACACATGGGTCATAGCAAACACCCTCTTCCAACAACACAAGGGTTGAATCTACCCATGGACTTCACCAGACGGTCAATACCAAAATCAGATTGATTATATTATTTGCAGCCAAAGATGGAGAAGTTGTACACAGTCAGCAAAAACAAGACCAGGAGCAGACTGTGGCTCAGATCATGAACTCATCATTGCAAAATTCAGACTTAAATTGAAGAAAGTAGGGAAAACCACTAGATCATTCAGGTATGACCTAAATCAAATCCCTTACAATTATACAGTGGAAGTGACTAATAGAATCGAGGGATTAGATCTGATAGACAGAGTGCCTGAAGAACTATGGACAGAGGTTCATGACACTGTACCATCCCCAAGAAAAAGAAATGCAAAAAGGCAAAATGGTTGTCTGAGGAGGTCTTAAAAATATCTTAGAAAAGAAGAGAAGCTAAAGGCAAAGAGAAAAGGAAAGATATAACCATCTGAATGCAGAGTTCCAAAGAAGAGGGAGAGGTAAGAAAGCCTTCTTAGTGATCAATGCAAAGAAACAGAGGAAAACAATTGAATGGGAAAGGATAGAGATCTCTTCAAGAAAATTAGAGATACCAAGGGAATACTTCATGCAAAGATGGGTTCAATAAAGGACAGAAACGGTATGGACCTAACAGAAGCAGCAGATATTAAGAAGAGGTGGCAAGGATACACAGAAGAACTATACCAAAAAAAGATCTTCACGACCCAGATAACTATGATGGTGTGATCAGTCACCTAGAGCCAGACATCCTGGAATGTGAAGTCAAGTGGGCCTTAGGAAACATCACTGTGAACAAAGTTAGTGGAGATGATGGAATTCCGGCTGAGCTATTTCAAATCCTAAAAGATGATGCTGTTAAAGTGCTGAACTCAGTATGCCAGCAAATTTGGAAAACTCAGCAGTGGCCACAGGACTGGAAAAGTCAGTTTTCATTCCAACCCCAAAGAAAGGCAATGCCAAAGAATGTACTCATTGCACTCATTTCACATGCTAGCAAAGTAATGCTCAAAATTCTCCAAGCCAGGCTTCAACAGTACATGAACTGAAAACTTCTAGATGTTCAAGCTGGATTTAGAAAAGGCAGAAGAACCAGAGATCAAATTGCCAACATCAGCTGGATTATAGAAAAAGCAAGAGAGTTCCAGAAAAATATCTACTTCTGCTTTATTGACTATGCCAAAGCCTTTGACTGTGTGGATCACAACAGACTGTGGAAAATTCTTCAAGAAATGGGAATACCAGACCACCTTCCCTACCTCCTGAGAAATCTGCATACAGTCAAGAAGCAACAGTTAGAACTGGACATGGAACACAGACTGGTTCTAAATTGGGAAAGGAGTATGTCAAGGTTCTATACTGTCACCCTGCTTATTTAACTTATATGCAGAGTACATCATGAGAAATGCTGGGTTGGATGAAGCACAAGCTGGAATCAAGATTGCTGGGAGAAATATCAATGGCCTCAGATATGCAGATGACACCAGCCTTATGGCAGAAAGTGAAGAGGCACTAAAAGAGTCTCTTGATGAAAGTGGAAGAGGAGAGTGAAAAAGCTTGCTTAAAACTCAACATTCAAAAAACTAAGATCATGGCATCTGGTTCCATCACTTCATGGGAAATAGAGGGGGAAACAGTGGGAACAGTAAGAGACTTTCTTTTCTTGGGCTCCAAAATCACTGTAGATGGTGACTGCAATCATGAAATTAAAAGATGCTTGCTCCTTGAAAGAAAAGCTGTGACCAACCTATACAGCATATTAAAAAGCAGAGACATTACTTTGCTAAGAAAAGTCCATCTAGTCAAAGCTATGGTTTTTTCAGTAGTCATGTATGGATGTGAGAATTGGACCATAAAGAAAGCTGAGTACTGAAGAATTGATACTTTTGAACTGTGGTGTTAGAGTAGACTCTTGAGAGTCCCTTGGACTGCAAGGAGATCCAACCAGTCCATCCTAAAGATCAGTCCTGGGTGTTCATTGGAAGTACTAATGTTGAAGCTGAAACTCCAATGCTTTGGCCACCTGATGCAAAGAGCTGACTCATTTGAAAAGACCCTGATACTGGGAAAGATTGAGGGCAGGAGGAGAAGGAGACAACAGAGGATGAGATGGTTGGATGGCATCACCAACTCGATGGACATGAGTTTCAGCAAGCTCCAGGAGTTGGTGATGGACAGGGAAGCCTGGCGTGCTGCAGTCCATGGGGTCACAGAGTCAGACATGACTGAGTGACTGAGCTGAACTGAACTGAACTTGAGGATTTTACTTGTCAGCCTCGTTGGTCATAGTGCACATTCTAACGCAGAGAGACTTGGAGAGTTAGATTCATGGAGGATTGTTCAAGAAGCAGGTATAGCATGAGTGTCTGCTGAGAAGAGGGACTTCCAAAGTAAACTTATTAAGCCTCAGCTTTGGTTAGTCAGAATGAGTAGTTCATATATGCTTGTTATAGGGATATTCTTATATAAATAAGGATATATATCCTAGGAAGATGCTACAGTCACTAGAAGGTAGTGTGTACTGTACTATGTAACATGTTGAAAAGAAACAAACTTCTCTTGAGAGATGCATGTGTGTGAAGTGCGTGAGCACATGTGCACACACACACACACACTTCACTGGGTCAGAATTCAGAATATTAGAGCTGAAGCACAGCTAACTCTGTGTTGTCAACAACATGTTTTCCATGGATGCACATGAGAATGGTGAAGGAGGTGCATGCCACAGGGTCTAGTTGTCACACACGGTGGGCATTCCACGTGTGTAAAGCGTGAGTTTCCCAGAGGCTACATATCATGTCTGTGATTATGACAGGAGTGGTCCTTTGGGTGCAGGCAGGAACTTTAAAGTTTTGGTCCAACTGTGACAGGGAGAGGTATTTGCCAAGGTTGAGTTCCTTTGTCATACTCATATAGGATTGTATTTCTTTTGAAGACTTTGTTTTGTATAGTCATTTGTTAGAAGGCTCAGTAGTAAAGAATCTGCCTGCTAATGCAGGAGACGCAGGAGACACAGGTTCGATCCCTGGGGTCAGGAAGATCCCCTGGAGGAGGAAATGACACTCCACTTCAGTATTCTTGCCAGGAAAATCCCATGGACAGAGGAGCCGGGCGGGCTACAGTCCATGGGGTCGCAATGAGTAGGACACAACTGAGCAACTGAGCATACATGCATACATACATACATTCAGTCATGTGTTGTGTGCTTAGCATCTGTCCCACTGGACTCTTATCTTTTAAGAGCTTAGCCCGTATCTCTTTTGCTCAGCATTATATCCCCAGTGCCTGTCACAAACATACCACCAGCCTTTCTCAAAGGTGGTACCTCATCTGACCCATAGGACACAGACAATGATTTGAGTGACTATTTTCTCAGTTCTCTTAAGGATGGTACATAACTAGTAGCATTCCAGATGCATAGGGAAGAATTAATACCCATTATACAGAATAGATATGTTGGGGTGTTGGGGCTTACTTCTCTTACGGAACTTTGGTGAGAAAGGCTGGCAGATACTTTGATGAATTAGGATGCATTCTGAGCGCTAGGGAGGAGAGGATAGCTCCCCCAATTGTGCTTTCTAGAAGTAGCGTGAATAAATGTTGGTTAGCGAAAGAACAGATTTCCACTAATCCCTCAATAAATATTCATTAAATGAATGAGTATGTGGGGATTCAACCCTCTTAACTCAGGTCACTCCTCTCTCTCAGGTTGATGAAAAAACAGAGGGTGATGTGAACATGCTGAGTGACTGGGCTGAGATTCTATGCCAAGAGTCTCACCATCCTGAGAGCAAAACTTTCATCTGCTTCTACTCCATTGATGACAACTATTTTGTCTCCTTAAACTGGGCAGAACTGTATTCAAAACAAATGCAGGTAAAGTTACCTCATCCTTTTTTTTTGTTTGTTTTTAATTGTATTTATTTATTTGGCTGCACTGGGTCTTTGTTGCTGGGCTCAGCCGTTCTCCAGTTGTGATGAATTGGGGCTACTCTCTAGTTGCAGTGAGTGGCTTTCTCACTGAAGTGGCTTCTTTTGACATGGAGCATGCACTCTAAGGCACACAGGTTTCAGCAGTCACGCTGCATAGGCCCACTAGTTGTGGCTCGTGGGCTCTATAGCACAGACTCAATATTTGTGGCACACAGGCTTAGCTGCTCCACAGCATGTGAATAGTCCTAGGCCATGGAATGAACCCATGTCCCCTACATTGGCTGGCAAATTCTTAATCTTTTGACCACCAGGGAAGTCCCCTACCTCATTCTTAATCCTCTTTACATGCATCATACTTCAACTGCCCTCATCTCAGGATGCTGAGGGTGATTCTAAGCTAGCTCATTGTAATACCCATCTCTATATCCCACTCTGCCCTGGATGCGGTGATCCTTCTTCCCCTCTAGTCATCAGGCTGACAGAATTCATATTCTGCATAAAGTAGGCTAAAGGCCAAGGAAAGAGCCTTAAGCATAGTGCTTCTATCACACACCTGACTCCTAGCATCAGGAAACTCCCAAAGTCAAGCTGTTCAGTCTTTTCTTAGACCCACAAGAGAGAAAAGGGATCTAAACAACCTTTTTCTACCCCTCACTTAAATTTTTTTTTTATTTAGCTTTGCCAGGTCTTAGTTGCAGCATGTGGGATCTTTGATCTTTGCTGTGGCATGTAGGATCTGGTTCCCTGACCAGGGATCAAATTCAGGGCCCCTGCATTGGGAGCACGGAGCCGTAGCCACCGGCCCACCAGGGAGGTCCATCTACCCCTCACACTTTGGAGCAGACTTCCTCCATGGTGAGGCTTTCATCTCTCATCCTCTTCTAGGCAGTACTCTGGATTCAGAAGAAAGCTGCAGAAATGGAAGGAGTGATAAAAAAGATAAAGTTCCATGTGATGGCTCAAGTGCCACCCATCCAAGCAATGGTCCACACAGGTCCCTCTCACATGTTAATTGCTTACTGTGATGACATGCGCCTGTGGCTCTTTGGGGATCACCATCAAGGGTTCATATCTCTGGGTATGGTCCCCTGTCGTTTCTCCATCAGCTGCCTCAGCTATGACTCAGAAACTGAGATGCTTCTCTCTGGTACCCTGGGGGCTGTGGTCACCTGGTTTATCTTGCCGAACGGCAGGGGCCTGCAAATGGCCCAAACTGTGCCTATGCCTGGTGGTGAGCTTGTTCAGGGCTTTTCCCTGAATGCCCCCCGGGGCTCCCTGCTGGCTCATTGTGAAAATAAGGTGAGAGTCTTCACCCACCAAGGTCAGGGCCAACTGGAAGAGGTGAAGAAGTTCACTCCCATCAACAGTGGCTCCACCATCACCTGCTCCTTCACTTGTTTATCTCAGGGCTACTTCTATGTTGGAAACAAGGATGGAGAAATCCATGCTTGGGGTCTAGACCGAGGTAACTTCCTCCACAGCTTCCAGGCTCATTCCTCATCAGTGATGTGTATCCAAAGCCGGTCAGAGACCTATACCTTACTAACAGCAGGCAGTGAAGGTGTAGTGAAGGAATGGAACCTTGCCTTTGGGAACTTGCTGCGGCAGCTGGATATTGATAAGAACATGCAGAGACTGCAGTTCATTGATAACAGCACCTTTTTCTGCCAGACTAACCACACTGTCTCATTGTATCACCTGCCCTACTTTTATAGCCTCTTCAATATCTGTGGTTCTGCTCCCCAGGAGGTGCGGCGGGTCTGCTGTGGCCATAATTGGACTCGGATCCTATGTGCCACTAAGGACGGTCTGTTGCGCTTCTTGTCTCCAGTAACGGGAGATCTCCTGGTTATCACCTGGCCTCTACTTATCATGGATAAGGCTGTGGCTTGGGCCTATGACTCACACAGAGAGGAGCTCTTTGTGGCAACAGATAGTTCAGAGGTGCTGGTGTTTGATGCAACACGCTCTCCTTGCACAGCCAAGTATCTTATGTGTCCTTCAGTAAGCCTTGGGGATAGAGTCAAATGCCTGGCCTATGGGCAGTACCATTTGGGTAAGGGCCTTGTAGGACTGATGTTCAGTGGGCATGACAGTGGCACTGTGAGAATCCTCTCCCACTACAGTTGTGCCCGAGCAGAAAAGATTCTTCATTCTGGGGCAGTCCTGGTATTGTCTACCCTGGAGGGTCCCCAAGAGTACTCCTTGCTCTGTTCCTATGGCATGGATAATACTGTATATCTGACAGAAGCTGTTCTGCAGGGGGACAGGGTAGTCCTGCAGCCTGTCAGCAAAATTCTCTGTATTTGCCCCCTAAAACACTTGATACTCTTGCCAGGTTCTGTGGGTGCCATCACTGAGAACCACCACTGGCATCTCTGGAGTTATCAGGACTTTCTGACATCTCCAGGATCAAAGCAGAGATCTGAGTTTAAAGAGACAAAATGCCTGCACCAGTGTGCCATCACTTCATTTGATGTTTGCCTTTCCCTGAAAATTTTTGTCACAGGGGACACTAACGGCTCAGTCCGGATCTGGGACTTCCATGGGAAACTCATAACTGAGTTGGACTCTGCATTACATTTTGGCCCACTGTGCTTTGCCAATAACCGGGGTGACCTGCTTTTGACTTTTAACCAGAGTCTTTACCTGGTATCCTGCTTAAAACTGCTCCCTCCAGCCCAGCTGATTCACCTAACTCTCCTGAACAATGCAGATGACATACAAGAAGCCCCTAAACCCTTCCTGCCTAGCTTCTTCTTTTCATTCGAAAAAGTATTTGTACCCAAATTTGTCTACTTTGGTCAAGGGTCGCAGGAATTACAGGGGCTAGAGGCCCTTGTTAACAAACGGATGATTGCCTTTGACCATACTGTGCCCCATGTTGTGGAGGAAGAGAGGCCTAAGTCCTCTGTGATGCAGGAGGGACCCACATTGCATTTTTTGGAAGATAAGTATACTGATTTTCCTACTCTGACTCCCAAGCGTGATCGTCCCCCATTCATGGTTCCTTCTCAGTTGCGACTGGCCGGCTGGGACGGGTTGAGACCCTACCAGATATTACATCATTTCTTTGGTCAAGGGCGACCTTGGCCCTTTCCTCCGGATGGCTACATCCCCAACTCAGTGATCCGTGCCCGTCTTTGGCCTGAGGGTACCCCCATCTTCTTGCACTGTGATCTCCACCTATCCTACCAAGATAAGGACTGGGACATGACTGGACTCAGCAGAAGTCAGGCACTGTCACCTGTGACTTCAATAAAACAGAAAATCTCAAAGAGGAAGCCAGATCAAAAACCCATGCTGGGGAAACAAACTTTCTTTGATATTCTTGTAAACTTGGCCAGTCAAAATTGGATGGGAAGAAAACTGGATGAAGGACTTATCAATACTTTAATTGAGACCATCCTCAACCTCACAGTTTACTGTTCTATAGAGCAATACAAGACATATATCAGTATCCTGGCACAGATTTTTGCCTCCCATCAAGTATCTCCAAGGTGGCACTCTGAGACTGCTTGTCGCCTCATGGAAGACACAACTCATTCCAATCCAGAGGTCCGGGAGACAGCCTGGGAGGGATTGGAGAAGCTAGGCTTCATGAGCCGTCTCTTTGCGATTCCCCTGGCTGTGGGATTGATGGACAGTGACAAAAATGTGCGGGCTAAGGCCTTATACCTTATGGTAAGAGTCACGGGCATCCAAACTAAGAGCCTGCTGATAGCTCTGCTGAAGAGACGAGACACTCTCAAGGAAATGCAGTAAGTCAGTAACCTTATTCCTTTCTGTTCCTTCTGGCTCCTGATCTGACTGCTTCTTTTCCTTTTCCCACAGATTTTTCTGTTCTTTTCCACTGCTTGTGTTCTTTATTTCTATTTGCTTCCCCCTCCCCCCCCCACTACACTATCCCTTATTGACTTAAAAAAAAAAAAGCACAATGTGAGAGTCATGAGTTAAGTTCTATCTGGGCAAAAGAGGATCATAGCTCAGGCTATGACAGCATTTCAGATATTTCTGAGAAAATGCTCCAAAGAGATGGGGGGGGCAGGGGGAGGTCAATATATATGTGATTTTGGTGAAGGGGGAGTTCATACAATCAAGCACGTATTTTTGCAGGTTTCTGCTAGTCACGAGGAGCAGATATCACCATGAAGGAATCTGGTGCTTTTCTAGATATGAGGAGATGCAAGAATTGGGCTCATACATTAAAAAGAATGAAATAATGCCATCTGCAGCAGTATGGATGGACCTACCAAGTGTCATACTGAGTGAAGTAAATCAGACAGAGAAGGAGAAATATCATATGACATCCCTTATATGTGGAATCTAAAAAGAAATGATACAAATGATCTTACAAAACAGAAAGAGACTCACAGACTTAGAAAATGAACTTATGGTTGCCAGGTGGAAAGGATAGTTAGGGAGTTTGGGATGGTCATGTACACACTGCTGTATTTTAAATGGATAACTAACAAGGACCTACTGTATTAACACATGGGACTCTGCTCAGTGTTATGTGGCAGCCTGAATGGGAGGGGGTTTGGGGAAGAATGGATACATGTATATGTATGACCGAGTCCCTTTGCTGCTCACCTCAAACTATCACAACATTGTTAATTGGCTATATCCCAATGAAAAATTAAAAGTTCAAAAAAGAAAGAAGGAATTGGGCACATAAAATCAGTTCCTGAAAATATCTATCTAAAGATCTGTTCTGCCAGCTTTTCCAGAGCAGACTGCCTTGTTCCTGATCTCCACCTCCTGAACACAGTTCAGGGTGTATTGAAGGTCAACAAGCCACAGTTGCACATGACTTAATCCTTGTAGAGGCAGATGGCAAGTGTCCTTGGCAAGTGGCAATTTGTAGCTGACACCCTCTTTTTCTGTCCATTGAGTACCCTGCTCTTCCATCATTTCCTCACTTCCTTAAGATTCTTCAAGACTCAAGTCCCCAAATCTCCCAACTAAAGAAGCATCTTGGGTCACTCTGACTACTCATTCCTTGCTGTTGTAGATTTTTACCTCTTTATCCATCTTTTACCTTGAACTACTCTGTCCTAGATGGTTACTTTAGGCCTGCTTCTTCCACTATCCTTAAGCCACTACCTCCTTTTCCTCTCCTTCCTTCTCCTCCTCCTTTTCCTTTAATTTTGTTTTATTGATGGCTCAGTATAATCCTTGTTTTACCTTGACTTTTGTAGGCAAGACTTTATTGGAGAAATCTCTCTGGACCAGCTGCTGGGAATTCAAGCTAGTGGTATCCAGTACCTGCTTACTCAGGTGGAACAGCGGTTAAATGAGAACCTGACCCTGTCACATAGAGAGGAGAAACCTCCTTTGGTTTTAGTTATATCAAGGGATCATGAACCTGAGGTCCCTGATGAACAAACACTCAAAATTTGGTCAGAACCTGCAAAGATCGCCAAACCAAAGCAAAGAATGACACATGTTGTTACAGCAAAGAGCAAAAATCTCAGTATGTATGGGGTGACATATAGGGTATATTTGGGGCCCACTTTAGGGCACCAAAAGGCAGGGTCAATAAGCCCAAGTTATATAAAAAGATACCAGTGGTGACAGACTTAAGTAAGGACTCTTTCACAGAAAGTAACCTTTCTGGGAAAGATCTACCCCATAACAAATTTGTTTTTATTGTTTAGTCACTAAGTTATGTGTGACTCTTTTGTGACCCCATGGACTGTAGCCTGCCAGGCTCCTCTGTCCATGGGATTTCCCAGGCAAGAATACTGGAGTGGGTTGCCATTTCCTTCTCCAGGAGATCTTCCCACAACAAATATCAAGGTCTCATTTCTTTGTGCTGTGCTGTCCTAACTCACTTCAGTCCTGTCCAACTCTTTGGGACCCTATGGACTGTAGCTTGCCAGTCCAGGAGGAGACAGGCTCCTCTGTCTATCGGATTTCCCAGGCAAGAATACTGATGTGAGATACCATTTCCTTCTCTGGGGGATCTTCCCACAACAAATACCAAGGTCTTATTTCTTTAGGGATATGGAAATTGGGATAAAACAGCAGGCACTTCTGGGCCATAAAGCTTTTGTTGCCTGTACTTTTTGTTACCCTTTACAGCAGTTCATTGAACTAGATGTGTCAGAGAATCTCACTCAGGACCTCTGTGTTTTTCTCAATTACTTTTCTCCCAATATCTCTGCAGTTAAAAAGGACATGAAAGTTCCCAGGAAGCAGGGAGAGACAGAATTGAGCCCTGTGTTGGTGACTTTAGAGCATGAAGATGAACAGAGAGAAGCCAAGGAATCAGATCAAATTGACATTCAGGATGTTGCCTCAGAGCCAGACCTGTCACTAAGTACTTTCAGCCCAGTCACATCCAAAGAGGATGCTGAATCAAAGGAGGTTGTGTTGGAGGCCACAGAAGTCACAGAACCCACAAAAGCCTTGGAGATCAAAAAAGCAGTGAAGGCCAGAGAGGCAGTGGAGGCCATGGGAGTTATGAAGGCCATAGATCAACAGGACATGAGAGATTATGGAAAAGTGATCCCTAAAGTGCAGAGACAAGAAAACCTGAAAAGGCTTTGGGAAAGAGCAATGAAAAAAAGCCATAACAAAGTAAGTGTGAAGTTGAAAGAGAAGAGAAAATTGAAGGTAATTCCAGAAACAACTGCAGAAGAGCCTAAGAAAGAGGTTATACAGGTTGCTGAGCAAGAAGAAGATGCAACAAAAGTATTTAGAAAGGGTGGTCGTGGTTTGTCTGGGATGCCTGGCCGCACAACCAAATCAGAAGCCAGATCTTGGCGGGATGACATTTGCAATCTTGTGACCTCAAGGATAGCAAGTTCTGATCCACGAATGTTAAGGGATCTGAGTCAAGAGTTGGTGAACTGGGCTCAGGCAATACTTGCCCCCCAAGAGCCCAGCTGGGATCTCTTCCAGGAGATTTGTCCGCTTTTAAAGGACTCATCAGAACTGGATGACATGGAGATGGAAGAAACACCTGTTGTAACAGAAGTGGTTACAGAGGTTGTCAAGGAAGAAAAGACAGTAGGACCCGGAGAACAAGAAGAACAAAGAGCTAAAAAAATGTTAAAGAAAAGAAAGGTGTCTTCTAAAGTCAAGAAAAAGAAACTTGTTTACTTAGATGATGACAAAGTATCAGACAAAATGAGATTCCAAAAAGTAAAGACACTAGCTATGCAAAAAGGGAAAATAACTGGGGAAGCAAGAAAACTGAGTAAGCAGGATTTGAAATTAATGCAAGGAAAAGAGAAACTGACCGAGGACAAGAAACCAATCCTTCAAAAAGAAAAAAGAGGTGAGGAGGAAGAAATATCACCCATCTCACAAAAGAAGTTAACCAAGGCAGAGCAGAAGTTAGTCCAAAGAGAAAAGAAGGTAACTGGGAAAGAAGAGGAACTACTAGGTAAAGGAAAGAGGATGAACTGGAAAGGGGGAAAGGTCACCCCGGGACAAAGAACATGGTACTGGGAGAAGGTTACACTGGATCACAAAGAAGGCAGGCAGGCCCAGGAAGAAGGGTTGCCTGTCTGGGAAGAGAGGAAGTTGCTCCATGAAGAGGAGGAGCTGATGGAGGAAGAGGAGGAGCTGATGGAGGAAGAGGAGGAGTTGAGTGAGGAAGACGGGGAGCTGAGTGAAGAAGATGAAGAGCTGAGTGAAGAAGATGAAGAGCTGAGAAAGGAATTGGAGGTGCTGGGTGAGGAAATGGAGAAGCTGATTGAGGCACTGGAGGAGCTCAATGAGGAACTGGGGGAGCTGGGTGAGGAAGAGGAGGAGCTGGCCCAGGAGAAGGAGGAAATAATCCAGCACCTAGAGAAACAAATTGAAAAAATGATGAAAAACTATCGCAAAATAAAGAAACATATGGGGGAAATGGAGAAACATGATGAGGAAGAGGCCTGGGAAAGAGGAAAATTGGCCCAGGAAGAGGAACATTTGTCTAAAGTAGAGGAAAGACTGTCTGGGAAAAAGGGAAAACAGACATTAAAAAGACACAGCTCGGTAAATCGAGAGATGAAATTGATCCGAGAAAAGAAGAAATCGTTCATGATAGAGAAGAAAGAGGCCCATAAAGAGAAACAAATCCAAGAAAAGGAAAAGCCAGTTGAGAAACTGGAGAAAATAGACGAGAAGGAGAGGCAGGCTAAGGAAAAGGAGGAAGATGCCAAGGACAAACAATTAGTCAGGAAAAGACAGAAACTAGGCCAAAAAGAGGAGGAACTGTTTGGAGAAAAGGAGAAACTGTCACAACAAGAAGTTAAACAGATCCAGAAAAGGGCAAGCAAAGCTTGGGAAAAGGAGGGAGGGGCCCAGAAAGTGGAGAAAATGACCAAGAAAAAGAGACGACAGATCTCAGGGGAAAAAGTGGACCTAGGAGAGAAGGGAGAGGCTGGGGAAATGGAGAAACTGTCACTGAAAGGAGAGAAACAGGCCCAGGAAGGAAAGAGATGGGATCAGAAAAAGGAAAAATTGACTCCAAAAGTAGAGAAAGCAGCAGAGGAAAAAACCCAACTAGTCAGAGAAAAAATGAAACTGGTCTCAAAAGAGAAAAGTAAACAGAAAATTGAGAAAGTGTCCCCAAAAGAAGAGAAATGGGTCATGGAAAAAGAGAAGAAAGCTATGAAAGAAGAGAAATGGGTCATGGAAAAAGAGAAGAAAATCAGCAAGGAAAAAAAACAATGGGCCTGGAGAAAAGAGAAATTGTCCCGAGAAGAGAAGAAACAAGCCAGTGAAATGGAGAAAAAGTCCCAGCAAAGACAGGCAAGGGCTTTGGAGAAAAGATTGACTCAAAAAAACAGTATTCTGGGCAAGGAAGAGAGGCATATTGCCGAGAAAGAAAGGGCAATAGCCAGGGAAGGAACTGGTGTAACTAAGAGAAAGAAAAAAGCAACTCAAGAAGAGAAAGAGTTTCTTGAGGGGAAACTGGCCTGTGACATTAGGGCCAAGGAGATGGGTGTTGCTAAGGAAGAAAAGAAAAGAATCCAAGAGGAGAGTATACAGGAAATGAGGAAACTGGATATGGGGGTGGGGATTAGTTCTGAAGGAAGAGAGACTAGTTCCAGAGAAAAAGATATAAGGAAGAAAGAGAGTCACCTGATGCAGATCCTGGCTAAAATAATTAGAGAAATGAGTATAGTGCCATTGAAAGAAACAGGAATACCTGAGGAAGATCAATTGGTTTCTATGGAAATGAGTGAAACTGATGGCCAGAGGTGGGAATTTTCTAAAGAACTGGAGGAAATAACCAGAGAAGAGAAGCAGCTGGTTCAGAAAGAGAGAAAACTAGAAGACGACAGACTAGCTACTGAACAGAGAATACTGACCGATGAAGAGAGCTTGGAGGAAGACCAAAGGTTATTAGAGAAGGTCCAGGAAAATATACTATTAGATAAAACCCAGGTAGATAGTATGCTAAAGGAGGCCCAGCAGCAAAATCTGTTAGGAAAAAAGCAGCTAAAGAAGCTTCTAAAGATAATCAAGGAGAAGAAACCAGAAAAGACCGTGGTAAAGTGGTTATTAGAGAATATCAGAGACATACTATTCGAAGGCTTATCAGACAGTTTGATTGAGAAGGAAGTGGAAGCTCCAACTAAGAAGAGGATAGACGAGGAGAGGGTCATTGAAGTCGAGGAGGAGGAGGAGATTCTGCCCAAGAAAGAGAAAGGGAAAGACCTGATGAAGAAGAAGGAAAAGAAAGTAAGCCTGAGTAAAGAGAAATTGGAGGAGAGCTTGGCTGGGAAGCATAAGAAAAAGAGTTCAACCCAAATAAGGAAAAAGGAAAAGAAACTGACTCAGGAGAAAGAGAAGCTGAAGAAGGAAAAAGAGGGCCCACATGAGGAAGAGATGGAGCCCCTCAGCAAGGAGGAAGGTGGGGAGCCACCCATGGAGAAGGAGGAGGAGGACCTCAGTGAGGAGGAGGAGAGCCGAAGTAAGGAGGAGAGCCTGAGTGAGGAGGAGAGTCTGAGTGAAGAGGAAGAGAGCCTGAGTGAGGAGGAGAGTCTGAGTGAAGAGGAAGAGAGCCTGAGTGAGGAGAATCTGAGTGCAGAAGAGGAGAGCCTGAGTGAGGAGGAAGAGGGCCTGAGTGAGAAGAGTCCGAGTGAGAAGGAAGAGGAGGGCCTAGGTGAGGAGAAACATCTGAATGAAAAAGAGAAGAGTCTGAGGGAGAAGAAGAGGAGTCTGAGTCAGGAGAAGAAGCTGAGTGAGGAGGAGGGGGAGAGGCTGAGTGAGAAAGAGGAGGAGAGCCTGAGTGAGGCGGAAGAGGGACTGAGTGAGAAGAGGCTGAGCGAGGAGGAGAAGCATCTGAGTGAGAAGAGTCTGAGTGAAAAAGAGAAGAGTCTGAATAAGAAAGAGAAGGCTCTGAGTGAGAAGGAGAAGAGTCTGAGTGAGAAAGAGGAGGAAGAAGAAAAAATGGAGACGACAGAGAAAAAAGAGGAGGAAAAGAAGGCAAGACAGAAGGATGAGAAGAGTATGAGTAAAGAGAAGGAACAGCCGAGAAGACTTACAGAGGCAATGCTCCCAGCAAAGCAGAGAGTGTGGAAAACAGAGCTCCCAAAGGAAGGAGTGAACTTATTGAAGCCAGAGACAGTAAGTGAGGTTCTTGCTGAGAAAAGGGAGGACATAGCTAAAGAAGAAGTGGCTCCTAAAAAACACACATTGTTTTATGGACAGGTAAGTCCCACAGTTAATGATAAGATTATGTGGCCAACAATTATGAAGAGCCCCCTCAAAACACCATTTCCTGTAGCCCTGGGAAAAGAAAAGGGAATGCTCCTGAAAGTGTTAGGGCATCATTTCGATTTGGAAGGACAGGAAAGTCAACTTCTTAAAGCACACCCCATGACAATGTCATGGGGAAGACGAGAGGATGTGCTCTTGGAAAAAGGCAAGGGCATGTTTTTACAAGTCATGGGGATGGAGACACAGACCCCAAAAGGCCTCCACAAGCCAAAGTCCCGCTTACCTGAAATTATCAGAGAATCACAGAAACCTAAACACAGGACCAGAGACGGCATGTGGAAGTGGTTTTTAAAGTCTCAGGATTCTCAAAAGGGCAAGACTCAGGGCCAGGCCCCTGCCCCAACCCCAACCCCAACCCCAGGTCCATCCCCAGCCCTGTACCCACCCCTTACCTCTATGCCAGCTAAAAGGCTTGATTCCCCAGATGGGGACTGGATTAGTAATGCCTTAATAAGACTGGAAGCCGGAGAACAACTTTCAAGGGACAGTTTCCATAGACTGAGCCAACTCCTCAAGCACCTCACTTCAAAGGGATATTTGAAACAGACCCATCTGTACAGCCTTAAAGCTGTGGCTAAACGCCTCCAGCAGAACCTACAGGTAGGTCACAGAGATATATCACGGCGTTATAAAGATGCTTTGAGCCCAGTATACATAAAAGCGATCCCTCCAATCAGAAGGAAAGAAATGGAGAGCTGGGGAGAGTCATTCCCTATCCATGAGCCAGTGTTACTGTCAGCTACTAACAGGACTCAGACCACACAGGATCTCAGTTGGCATCCCTTAGCTGAGTCCTATAGGAAGGAGCAGGTACTGCAGTTATCCACTGCTGTCAAGAAGTTAAAGCACCTTTATCAAACCAGAAAGGATGTTCCTACAGCCGTCTATCCCTCTGCAGATAAAGAGGCCTTGGACATCCGAGCCTTGGGGAGAAGTGAGCTCCCCACGTTTCACAAGGCAAAGGCCCGGCCCATCCCTACACCAGCATTACCATCAATGACCTACAGGGTTCAAGACCCAAAGGCTCTAACTTGGCTTCTTTTAGGAAAGCCTTACAGGAGTGCACAGGCACAGCAATTATCCCATGTTCTCCAAGAGATGGGAATGCAACACTTTCATCCTGCCACAAGAGACATTTTCACAGGTGCCCATGCTTCTGTGGAAAAACAAACTCTAGCACTGATGTTTCAGAATGATCTCAGGGCTCTGAAGGGCGAAGGCAGGGCCCTCAAGCTGCCCCAGCTGGAAAAGAAGGCACAATCTGTCTCTAAAGACAAGGAAGAGCTCCCCCAATGGGAGACGTTTGTGGCCTTATACCATGTTCTGCGGATGTTGCAGAAGCGATATGCAAGAGACAGTGCTGCATGGATGGAACAGTTCAAACGTCTCATGGACTTGTACCAGCTCAAGTCCCCCCGAATCCAGAGGCTGCTACTGGAGTTGCTGCAGAGAAAGAGACTCCAACCACAACAGACCATCTACGAAGAGGCTGCAAGGATCAAGGAGTTGGTGCCTGGTGAACGGTTACTCTGTGACCTGATGTGTGGTAGTTCTTATGCCCCTGCAGGTCCCCTTGAATTCAAGAATGTTGTACCCTTGCCTGGGCAGAACAGAGTGCATACTATCCAACCCACGGGCATTGCCCAGTATGGATTCTTAGAACTTGCCTGGAAAAGGCTACCAAAAGCCAATCCTTACCGTAGGGAGAGGCTGCCCAACATCCCAACCCCCACTCTCTGATTTGGTTGACTATTAAGACTCTGGGGTCTTACTGGAAAATAAGACCCGGCCACAGGTTTTAAGCCTCCTTACCTGGTACCCACTTTAAGGTGAGGCTCGACATGGACTCCTTTTCATTCAGCTCCAGAAACCTATTAATACATACTAAATAAAATGACATTTCTCATTTGTAACAAATTTGTTGTTACTCAGTCGCTAAGTTGTGTCTGACTCTTTGAGACCCCATGGACTGCAGCACTACAGGCTTCCTTGTCCATCACTATCTCCTGGCATTTGCTTAAACTCATGTCCATTGGGTCAATGATGCTACCTACACATCTCATCCTCTGCTACCTTCTCCTTCTCTTACCTTCAGTCTTTCCCAGCATCAGTGTCTTTTCCAATGAGTTGGCTCTTTGCATCAGCTGACCAAAGGATTGGCGCTTCAGCTTCAGCATCAGACCTTCCAATAAATATTCAGGGTTCATTTCCTTCAGGATTGACTGGTTTATTCTCCTTGCAGTTCAAGGGACTCTCAAGAGTCTTCTCCAGTACCGTAATTTGAAAGCATCAATTCTTCAGCACTCAGCCTTCTTTATGGTCCAACTCTCATATCCATACATGACTACTGGAAAAACCATAGCTTTGACCATATGGAACTTTGTCAGCAAAGTTATGTCTTTGCTGTTTAATATGGTGTCTAGGTTTGTCATAGCTTTCCTTCCAAGGAGCATCTTTTAATTTCATGGCTGCAGTCACTGTCCACAATGATATTGAAACCCAAGAAAATAAAATCTAACAAATACTTTGGCTTATTTCTCTTCCTCCCCACACCTAGAATCTCCTAAAAAGTAGACAGGAATAAAAAAAATAACCTTTGTCCTAAGAGAAGCTAAAGGCAAAGGAGAAAAGGAGATACACCCATTTGAACACAGAGTTCCAAAGAATAGCAAGGAGAGATAAGAAAGCCTTCCTCAGCGATCAATGCAAAGAAATAGAGGAAAACAATTGAATGGGAAAGACTAGAGATCTCTTCAAGAAAATGAGCAATACCAAGGGAACTTTTCATGTAAAGATGGGCACAATAAAGTACAGAAATGGTATGGACCTAACAGAAGCAGGAGATATTAAGAAGAGGTGGCAAGAATACACAGAAGAACTATACAAAAAAGATCTTCATGACACAGACAATCAAGATGGTGTGATCACTCACCTAGAGCCAGACACCCTGGAATGCGAAGTCAAGTGGGCCTTAGGAAGCATCATTATGAACAAAGCTAGTGGAGGTGATGGAATTCCAGCTGAGCTATTTCAAATCCTAAACAATGATCCTGTTAAAGTGCTGCACTCAATATGCCAGCAAATTTGGAAAACTCAACAGTGGCCACAGAATTGTAAAAGGTCAGTTTTCATTCCAATCCCAAAGAAAGGCAATGCCAAAGAATACTCAAACTACCACACAATTGCACTCATCTCACATGCTAGAAAAGGAATGCTTAAAATTCTCCAAGCCAGGCTTCAACAGTACGTGAACCATGAACTTCCAGATGTTTAAGCTGGATTTAGAAAAGGCAGAAGAACCAGAGATCACGTTGTCAACATCCGCTGGATCATCGAAAAAGCAAGTTCCAGAAAAACATCTACTTCTGCTTTATTGACTGTGCCAAAGCCTTTGACTGTGTGGATCACAACAAACTGTGGAAAATTCTTCAAGAGATGGGAATATCAGACTACCTTCCCTGCCTCCTGAGAAATCTGTATTCAGGTCAAGAAGCAACAGTTAGAACTGGACATGGAACAAGAGACTGGTTCCAAATCAGGAAAGGAGTATGTCAAGGCTGTATATTGTCACCCTACTTATTTAACTTATATGCAGAGTACATCATGAGAAATGCTGGGCTGGATGAAGCACAAGCTGGAATCAAGATTGCTGGGAGAAGTATCAATAACCTCAGAAATGCAGATGATACCACCCTTATGGCAGAAAGTGAAGAAATAAAGAGCCTCTTGATTAAAGTGAAAGAGGAGAGTGAAAAGTCAGCTTAAAACTCAACATTCAAAAAACTAAGATCATGGCATCTGGTCCCATCACTTCATGGCAAACAGATGGGGAAACAGTGGGAACAGTGAGAGACTTCCTTTTCTTGGGCTCCAAAATCACTGCAGATGGTGACTGCGATCATGAAATTAAAAGTTGCTTGCTCTTTGAAAGAAAAGCTATGACCAACCTAGACAGCATATTAAAAAGCAGAGACATTACTTTGTCAAGAAAGGTCTGTCTAGTCAAAGCTATAGTTTTTCCAGTAGTCACGTACAGATGTGAGAATTGGACTATAAAGAAAGCTGAGCACCAAAGAATTGATGCTTTTGAACTGTGGTGTTGGAGAAGACTCTCGAGAATCCCTTGTAATGCAAGATCCAACCAGTCCATCCTAAAGGAAATTAGTCCTGAATATTCATTGGAAGGACTGACGCTGAAACTTGAACTCCAAACTGATGCGAAGAACTAACTCATTTGAAAAGACCCTGATGCTAGGAAAGATTGAAGGCAGGAGAAGGGGACAACAGAGGATGAGATGGTTGGATGGTATCACTGACTCAATGGACATGAGTTTGAATCAACTCCAGGAGTTGGTGATGGACAGGGAGGCCTGGTGTGCTGCAGTCCATGGGGTCGCAAAGAGTCGGGACACAACTGAGCAACTGAACTGAAGAGGCACAAGTTCTCCATTCAGTGGGCTACATCCCTTGGAGGTCAGAGGCCAGTATTCAATCACTTTTCGACAGGAAAGCCTGTCCTTCACTCAGATTCTTTGGTTGTAATTTCCTTTCCTCAAGAGATCTTGGAGGGAGTGTTTAGTACAGGTGGACTTTTGTTTATTTAGTGTTAATATGAGAGGAAGGAAAGAAGACCCACAATTTTGTATAAATGTTTTTAAAAGATTTATTGTGCTGGGTCCTCATTGCTGCATGTGGGTTTTCTCAAGTTGCAGCAAGTGGGGGCTACTCTCTAGTTTTGATATGTGGACTTCTCTTTCTGTGGAGCACAGGTTTTAGGCACGCTGGTTTCAGTATCTGCAGCAGGAGGACGCAGTAGTTGTGGCTTAGTTGCTCCACGGCATGTGGGATCTTCCCAGAACAGGAATCGAACCTGTGTCTCCTGCATTGGCAGGCAGATTCTTTACCACTGATCCACCAGGGAAGCCTAAACTTTGTTTTTGACTTAAGTTCTTCAACATTTCTGATTCAGTGTTCTCATGTACATCACAGGGATAAAGAGTGAAATAATGGCTGTTTATCAATTTGAATTCAGAAGAATTCTAGCCCTTGCTTTGCCATTTATTAGTTTTTTAATCTTAGTTTTTGGTTTTCTCAAAGTAAAATGGTGACAATAATGTCTAACTAAGTGAAATGCTTAATTCAGTTCCTGGAATTCAGTCCTTTTCCTCTAATGGATAGCTATTTTTAATGAGATATAGTGTGGGGATAAAAATGTAGGTTCTAGATTCAAACCAGGATTTGAATCCCTGCCTTTCAATTTAACATGTAATCTCAAGCCAATGATTTCACTTCTCTAATCCTCAGTTTTATCATGTGCAAAAATGGGGCTCGTTATGAGGTTTGAACGAGATCCTGCCTATGCCCATTTTAGCATACTGGGAGCACAGGAGAGGAACTGTAGGCTAGACAAGGGGTCTGGAACCTCAAGAGAGATTGGAGGTACCTTGGGAAAAGGGACAGAGCTCAAGGAGAGGGCGAGCAAGAGCAAAGGAGATGCCAGAGCATGAAGATGCTTAGAGGCTCAGTAGAAGCTCTTGGGTGTTAGAGAATTGTCAGAGTCCTCTGGGAGATGACAGATTCTAAGCAAAAGCTTGGAAGCCCAGGCGATCTGAAGCTTGGGTGCTTTGGAAAGAGACCCTGGAGCAGAAGTCAGATATCATGGGAGAGGTCTGGGAGTCCAAGATGTCTGGATATTGATTTTGCATCTTTTAACTTTATTGAATTCATTTATCAATTCTAACAGGTTTTTCTGGGGGGGGTGGTGTCCTATATAATGCCTTACCATCTACAAAGAGGCACAGTTTTACTTCTCTTCCAACTTCTCACATTTTTATTACTTTTTCCTGCTTAATTGCTCTGGCTAAGATTCCCAATACTCTTGTTTAATAAAAGTGGTGAGAGTAGGCATCCTTGTCTTGTTCTTGATCTTAACAGGAAAAGCTTTCAGTCTCTCACCACTGAGTACAATGTTAGCTGTAGGCTTCTCATATATATCCTTTATCATGTTGAGCTATGCCTCATCTATACCCACATTGTTTTTATCATAAATAGATATTTGTCAAATGCTTTTCTTTTGCATCTACTGAGATGATCCCATTTTTATTTTTCATGTTGCTAATGTGGTGTATCACATCAGTTGATTTGTGGATGCTGAACCATCCTGTTGTTCCTGGAATTAATCTCACTTGATCATGGTGTATACTTTGAATATATTATATTCAGTTTGCCAAGACTTTGTTGAGGATTTTTACATATATGACCATCAAGGATACTGACCTGTAATTTTCTTTTCTTGTAGTGTCTTTGGTTTTGGGATCAAGGCAACATTGGCTCCATAAAATGAGTGTGGAAGTGTCCTCTCCTTTTCTGAAGAATTTGGGAAGGATTGGTGTTACTTCCTTTTTAAATGTTTGGTAGAGGAACTAAAGAGCCTATTGATAAAGGTGAAAGAGGAGAGTGAAAAAGCTGGCTTAAACTCAGCACTCAAAAAACTAAGATCATGGCATCTGGTTCCATCACTTCATGGCAAATAGATGGGGAAACAATGAAAATAGTGACAGACTTTATTTTCTCAGGCTCCAAAATCACTGCAGACAGTGACTGCAGCCATGGAATTAAAAGACGCTTGCTTCTTGGAAGAAAAGTTATAACCAACCTAGACAGCATATTAAAGCAGAGACATCATTTTTTGCTGACAAAAGTCTGTCTAGCCTAAGACATGGTTTTTCTAGTAGTCAAGTACGTATGTGAGCTGCTGCTGCTGCTAAGTCATTTCAGTTGTGTCAGACTCTGTGCGACCCCACAGATGGCAGCCCACCAGGCTCCTCTGTGCCTGGATTCTCCAGGTAAGAATACTCGAGTGGGTTGCCGTTTCCTTCTCCATTGCACGCACGCATGCTAAGTCTCTTCAGTCGTGTCCGACTCTGTGCAACCCTGTGGAGAGCAGCCCACCAGGCTCCTCTGTCCATGGGATTCTCTAGGCAAGAATACTGGAGTGGGCTGCCATTTCCTTCTCCAACGTATGTGACAGTTGGACAATAAAGAAGGCTGAGTGCTGAAGAACTGATGCTTTCAAATTGTGGTACTGTAGAAAATCCTTGAGAGTCCCTTGGACTGCAGGAACAAACCAGTCAATCCTAAAGGAAATCAATCCTGAATATTCATTCGAAGGACTGATGTTGAAGCTGAAGCTCCAATCTTTTGGCCACCTGATGCGAAGGGCTGATTCACTGGAAAAGACCCTGATGCTGGGAAAGACTGAGGGCAGGAGGAGAAAGAGGCGACAGAGGATGACAGTTGGATGGCATCATTGACTCAATGAACATGAGTTTGAGCAAAATCCGAGAGATAGTGAAGGACAGGAAAGCCTGGCCTGCTACAGTTCATGGGGTCACAGAGTTGGACGTGACTGAATGACTTAACAACAACAATATATAATAATACATGTATTATACTATGTATATAGTAACTTGGAGAAGTACCATGCTGACCTGTTGCAGGCTTATTTTATTACAGAACTCAAATTATTCTGTATTATATTTAATTCTAAAACCTAAACATGGAGATGGTGAAGAACAGGGAAGTCTGGCATGCTGCAGTCCATGAGGTCGCAAAGAGTCAGAAACTATGGAGTGACTAAACAACAACAAAACCCATATGCGACAATGATGTTAACCATCAGATGATGAATAGGATAGTGGATTCCCCAACTGCAACAAGTGGTTAGAGAAGTACAGGTTATAAGGGACAATCATACTGACATCACAGATGGTGGGCTGACAATGCATAACTTGTAATTTCCATGAATCATTCTTATCTGAAAAATAACAATTCTTCTATGCGACTGAATACCAACTATGCAAAAATATACAATATTTTATCAAAACCAATATGATTTGCTGCTGGCATTTCTTTGACATTGCCAGAAAAAAAAAGTGGAAGGTATTTCAAATGACTAATTTCTGACATTTATCTGGTTGGAAGTGTTTGAAAGTAGGTATCCTGATTTTTAAAATGGTCAGGTAGGTGTGTTGAGGGGGTGGGAGAGAGGTTCCTTTTAGTATTAATATTAGAAAAACGAATGAATCTAGATTACAGATCAGGAAACTTGTTCTTAAAGGTCAAGAGTAAATATTTTAGGCTTACGGGGCATACATTTTCTGTTACAGCTTTAGATAATATGTAAGTGAATGAATATGGTTGTGTTCCAATAAAACTTTAGAAAACAGGTGGCTGGCCCACAGGGCAATCATTTGCTAACCTCTAACATTAGAAAGTACCAGACTGGAGACATAAACACCCTACCATGTGTAAATCTGTAAAGCTTAGTGGAAATCTGCAGTACAGCACAGGGAAACTCAGCTCAGTAATCTGTGATGACCTAGACAGGTGTGATGGTGGGGGGGTGAAAGAGAGGTCCAAGAGGGAGGGGATACATGTATACATGTAGCTGATTCACTTTGTTGTATAGCAGAACCACAACACTTCAAAGGAATTATCCTCTAATTATAAATAAATAAATACAAAGTATTAGATCAATTGCTTCATATTGGATTAAATCATTCAAGATTTAAAGTCAAACAAGAATAGTTAAGTTTTTAATATTCTAGTTAAATGATTTTTAATTACATAATTCTTTTGGTAGATTCTCAGTTTTAGTTGGCAGGTAATATATTTGGATTTTCTATGCTCAATTTCGTAAGGAAACTTCATTTAGCTTTTGACTTTTAGGGCCTATTATTCTAATAGACTTGTTATAATTATGTAATCCAGACAGTAATGAGCTAGAAAGACTGTTAGAAATAATTTCCTTCTTTAAGACTTACCTGACTATGTGTCATAGTGCTGCCTTTTAAAAAAGAGTTGTTTTCCTTTGATTTTTTCTTCTTCCATATTTATGGCTAAATCCCCTTTCTTACTAACAATGCTATAATGTAACATTTATAATTTTTCTTGACCAGATTCACCAACGTTTATTTGATGTTAACATTTTTAATAGAAAAATTTTTAAGTTAAAAAACTGTTTCAAGATTACTGTTACATTTCTAAATTATTAAACTATATTTTTAGATGTATTCATTACTTTTCACAGAAAAAACCCACACTTTTATTAGAATATCATTTTGTAATAATTTTAGTTGTATTGACTGCTTCCTATAAATTTCCAGATCGCTCAGGGGTAAACAACCTGCCTGCCAATGCAAGATACTTGATCCCTGGGTAGAGAAGATCCCCTGGAGAAGGAAAAGGCAACCTGCTCCAGTATTCTTACTTGGGAAATCCCATGGACAGAGAAGCCTGGTGGGCTATAGTTCATGAGGTCGCAAGAGTCGGACACGACTTAGCAACTAAACACACACACACACACCACACCCTTACTGAAAAAATACTATGTTTAAGATAGCTTTCCATGTTTCTTATACTCCAATAACAGCACTATAATGTAGGTACTATTATGGTCACTTACAAAAGACTCCCACAGGGATAGATATCTTGCACGCAGGATCTAAAAATCAAATGGCAATCAGGATGGTTTTTTTTTCAGATTTGTTAGGTCAACAAGGATTTTCTTTGGCATTAGTTTTTTTCAAATGTAACAAGAATTGACTAGGGCTATAGAGCTTTTATAAATAGAGCATACAAAACAAGGGCATTTCTACATTCTCTGAATTTTTCTCCATTATAAATATTCTGGTAATCCATAAATAGAGAAATGCTAGTAAAGGCCTTCTGAGTAACAAAAACATAAACTGTAAATTTCTGAATTTGAACATTTAGGTCATAATTAAAATATCTGAAACATTATTTACATTCTGAGGGCTTCTCACCAGTATAAATTATTTAATGCCTTAAGAATTGAATCATATCTAAAAGCTTTCCCATGTTCTTTTCATTCAAAATTTTTCTCAGTGTTATAAATACAGTGATTTACTATACATTCTCTACTGCATATATATGCTTTTCCACAGTCCTTACACTCGTAATGTTTCTCTCCAGTATGAGTTTTCTGATACACTTTAAGGCCTGAACTAAGCCTAAAGGATTTTCCACATTTGTTACATTCTAAAGGTCTCTCACCACTGTGAATACTCTGAGGTAGAGTAAGTCATTCACACACATTAAAGGCTTCCCACATGCTTTACATTCATAGGGTTTCTCTCCAGTATGAAATCTACTTTGTATAATCAGTTGATGTCCACTGCTCACACTCTTTACATTGATGGGGTTTCTCACCAGTGTGAATTCTGTGATGCATCCTAAGGCTTTCAACATGACTAAAGGACTTTCAACATTTTTTACACTGATGCGGTTTCTCTAAAGTATGAATTCTCTTATGCCTAACAAGGTTTGAGGGGTGATTAAAGGCCTTTCCACATTCTTTACATTCATAGGGTTTCTCACCACTATGAATTATGTGATGCATTCTTGGCCTTCCACCATTAATAAAGGCCTTCCCACATTCACATTTACAGGATTTTTCACCAGTATGAATTCTCTCACGTTGAATAAGTGCTGAAGCATGACTAAAGGCCTTCCCACATTCACGACATTCGTAGGGTTTTATACTGATATGCATTTGCTGATGTGGAATGAGTTGATAGCCATGACTAAATGTCATCCCACATTCCTTACACTCATAGGGCTTCTCCCCAGAATGAATTCGCTCATGTTGAACAAGATGTGAGGCCTGACTAAAGGCCTTTCCACATTCTTTACATTTGTAGGGTTTCTCCCCAGTATGAATTCTATGATGTTCCCTAAAACCTATACTAAGACTAAAGGTCATCCCACATGCATGGCGTTCATAGGGTTTTTCACCACTATGAATTAGCTGATGTTGCAGAAAGTTGGATGAACGACTAAAGGCCTTTCCACACTGCTTACATTCATAGGGTTTCTCACCAGTATGAATTCTCTGATGTATTATAAGGTCTGTGTGTCAACGAAAGGCCTTACCACATTTGTCACATTCATAGGGTTTCTCACCAGTATGAATTTTCTGATGCACAGTAAGAGATGAAGGTTTTTAATAAATATGTATATTTTCATAGCTCATTATTTCATATCTTGAATTCAAATCTAAAAGAGAAAAACATTTTATTTTCCTTGACAAAGAACAGTGAATATTCTATACTACATTCTTTTAAATTAAAAATATCACTCATTAGAGTAAATTACTTTAGATAACTCTAAAATCAGCTATACATTGTGTAATATTAATGACAGTTTCCATAACTCATTTATCATACTTTACTAGAGTGATTTAATATACTCTTTCTTATATCAGTTTCCATCAAAGACTTACAGAGGTGTTACTGGCCAAAACTGTGAAAACAGCAGCATAAAAATGATTGTGATGGAATGTAACAATATGATAAAAGGCAATCAGAAATTTTCCTGGTGGCTAAGGCTCTGGACTCCTAACAGGGGACATGGGTTTGATCATTGGTCAGGGAACTAGATCCCACATGGTACAACTCGTACCCAGTGCATCCAAATAAATAAATAAATACATAATAAAAATAAGCAAATAAAAAAAAAAGCAATGAGTCCACAATGATACAACAGAAAATAAATTTAAAAAAATTTTTCACATTAAATAACTCCTCAACTGAATATGTTCTAGTACCATCATGGTGATGAAAACCCTTTCAAGATCATCTCCCTCTCTGACCCTCTCTGATATCAACTGAAAATGCTTGACAGAATAAAAAAATCGAACACTTGAGGTCTGTAAATTAAACGGAAAAGGGTTGTGGAGGGAAGTAAAAACCTTAAAAAATGACCTACACTAGACTGAGTTTCTTGCCACTTTCTCTATCACTCATAGCTTTGCAATATAGGTTGGCCTCAAGTATACTGGGGCAAAACTGAGTTACAAAAAACCCCAACATACTTCCTACTACAAGAATCACAGTAAGGAATACTACCAAAGAGGAAAGTGAGGGAGGAATCCTAGAAAAGAAACACTGAGAGAAGGTTCCCTAATTTGTGGAGGAAACACATACAAATCTTAGCCTAAACATGAATCGTGTATGCATGAAAAGGACACAAACCAGTATAGCTAAGCCCAGAACCAGAGAATTATACTACTGCCCCCAAACAGCAAGACATAACATGTAGCCTAAATTTTATTGCTTCGATTACTTGCTAAAATAAAAATATCAACATGTAAACATTTCAACATAACACAGCACTCACAATGTCCAAAAAACAACATAAAAATTATTAATTGTAAAAAGAACAAAAAAAATGTGGTCCCCTCTCAAGGTAAAAGATAAACCACAGATGCTGAGACAACACAGAGAAAAAGAAACCACATAAAGGAAAACACTAAAACTATAGAACTGAAATAAGTAACTTCTAAAATGCTGAGGAGAATGGATACATGTATATGTATGGCTCAGTCCCTTTGCTCAGCCAGGGCAAAACTACCACAACATTGTTAATTGGCTATACCTCAATACAAAATAGAAAGTTTAAAGTCTGAGGAAAAAAAATGCTGGAGGGCTTACAACAGAATGGAAATGATAGAGGAAAAAGTAAATATGACAGATGTATAAAAGTTACTGTGGTAATATATGTAAAGATGCAAATAGAATCTGAAAAGGAAAGGAGACAGAGTGAGGCAAAAACTGATTGAAAAAAATGACTACAGGAAGTTATTTACACTGATAGAATCTTTAGGAATGAAAGATGGCAACATGAAAGCTAAATATCTATATATTAAGATCATTTATTCCCCTATTAAGTTATTTCAGATGTATCTGACTGGAAAGCAAAGCTTTTAACAGTCTGGTGGTGTTTTCAATATATGTAAATGTGATAAACATGACAATTATAACACAAAGGGAAAGGTAAGTATAAACATATGGAAGCTACAAGTTTTTTCATTTTATAAGAAATGCTACAATATTTGAAAAAATAGACTGTGAAAGCTTAGGTATATTTTATACTGTAACCCCTATAACATACACTAAAACAGATATTCAAAGAGAAATAGTCAAAATGACAAGAGAAAAACAAAAATGAATACTAAAGAAATATTTCAATACTCTAGTACAAAGCAGGAAATGGAAACAGAAGACCTAAAACAAAGGAAGACAGGACATTAGGAAGAGTGAACTATAAAGATGCAGCCCCTCATTCTCCCCAAGAGATACTGAATCAACAGGATTACATGTACCAAAATATCTTTACTCTAAAAATTAGTTAAGGGGCTCTAGCACGCAGATAAACACATAAACAAAAGAAAAGACAGCCAAGAAGTTTGCTTGTTTAGAGTTTGCTTGCCCGAGTTCCTCTTACCACCCAGTATAATGAGGTGTGATGAAGAATATGTGCCGTGCTCAGTCGTTCAGTTGTGTCCTACTTTTTGTGACCCTATGGATGGCATCCCGCCAGGCTCCTCTGTCCATGGGATTTTCTAGGCAAGAATACTGGAGTGGGTTGCCATTGTCTCCTTCAAGGAATCTTCCCGATCCAGGAACTGAACCTGAGTCTGTTGCATCTCCTGCATTAGCAGGTGAATGCTTTACCAACTGAGCCACCTGGGAAGCCCACCTACTCCCAATTTCTGGCTCCTTCCTCAGGACAGGAAAAAAGTGGAACTTGTGTCCAACATTCTGACTTCTCTGGGGGCTACCCAAGGGACTGGTTTTTGCCTTATCTGGCTTGGTTTGCCAATGGGAATGGTGGCATAGTTTGTACATCACATTGAAGGCCACTGAAAACACAGTTGAGTATTGCAGCATGTTAGGGTAGCAAAGAATATACATTTCCACAGGCAGACCCCAGGAGAAGCAATAGATTAAGGGTTAGAGGAATATAGAGAAACTAAAAGATCCTCAGAAGAAATAGGAAATTAACATGTCAGAAGCAGCCATTTATACTAAAATAAAAGCATACACACAACCCCAAAGAAGATGCATCCCAAGAAAAGGTGGTTGATAGGTTCCAGGACCCCTGGTTGGGCTTACTCGTGAAGGTAGTAAGGCAGTCTGTAAAGACTGCAAGAAGTGGCTGTTTCCACAGAGCCAAAATCTCAGTGAAAAATCACAAGGGATACAGAGAAACAGGGAAATCAAAGGACCAATACAAAGTGCCAGAAACCAACTCTAAAGAAAAGCAGATATGTGAAGTTCCTGAAAAAGAATTTTAAAATTATGGTTTAAAGAACCTTCCCTGGTGCCTCAGTGGTAAAGAATCTGCCTGCCAATGCAAGAGACGCCAGTTAAATCCCTGGGTCAGGAAGTTCCCCTAGAGAAGGAAATGGCAACCCACTCCAGTATTCTTGCCTGGAGAATCCCATGGACAGAGAAGCCTGGCAGGCTACAGTCCATAGGGTTGCAAAGAGTCAGACACAACTAAGCAACTGAGCAACAGAATTTGGGATAGTATTGCCATCTTAACAGTTTTAAGTGTTCTGAATTTTCTGATATGCTGTAAGAGCTGAAAGAACAACATAAATCAGAATTAGAAAAACTCAGAAAAGAAGTAATAGAGCTCAGGAACATAGTAGAGATAAAAGAAAAAATAATTTCAGAATATTAACCTAGAAAGAAATAAGAAAAACTCCAATATATTAATATTAGGACAACAATTTTTAATAAGAAATTTCAAATATGTAAAAAGTATATGAAAAAATAAATAAATTTAATTTATTTTATCTAGACTTCTAAGTTTCATAAATAAGATTTTTGAAATAATGTATTACAATATATAAATATATTAAAAATTCAATCAGACCATGGCTCTTAAATAATCTTAGAAAACAATTTTAATTCTTCTTAATAACACCTCAAATTACCTGAACTCCCATAATATATTGACTTCATGTTTTGTTAGTTAACCCTCAATAACTCTATTCCAATCTGCCACATACTCCTTAACACACAACATTCATGTTCACCTTCAGGCCTTTGTATGTATTATTTATTCTTCTTGTAATGGACTTTCTCATATACTCAAATGCTTTGGGCCCTTACCCTTCATGTCTCAGCTCAAATATCACTTCCTCAGAAAAGGGTTCCTGACCATTTTACCTCATTATCTAAATTTGCCTTATCCTTGGCAGTCTCCTTCAAACTATGTTTCACTATGTGATGCTGTTTATCTACTTATTTGTTTACATTGATTTTATGTCTTCCCTAATATAATACAAACTCCATTTATTAACCAGATATAGTAATAAATATATTTTTAGTTAATGAAGCCATATTACAAACCTAAGTGCCCCAGAGGTTCTAGAAAACATTTGAGTCCAAAATACATAATAAAAGATGCATAAGGGGACTTCCCTGCTGGTCCAGTGGCTAAGACTCCATGCTCCCAACACAGGAGCATGTTCAAAGGGACCCAGGTTCAATCCCTGGTCTGGACTCCACATGCCATAACTAAGAGTTCACATGCCTCAACTAAAGATTCCACATGCCACAACTAAGACCTGGTGCAGCCAAATAAATAAATAAATAAATAAGAGGTGCATGAAGAAGAAGGACAGTGCCCATCACTGAACTGGGAGGAAAATGTAAGAAGAATAACAAAAGGAGTGGTTAATGAAGTAAAGATAAAATACACTGGGTAGTTCACGCAGAGCATTTATCTCCACTTTAGATCAAAGGTATCTTCTCCAATGTGAATGAAGCTTTCCAAGCCAATATTTCAAGTGTGTGTCTCCTTGACAACTGGGCTTTTACTTTCATGGATGTGGGCCCATAATTTGACTTGCTCATACTTACCTGTACACCATCTTTTTGTTTCTTCTCCCACAAGCATCCATGGCTCTTTTCCTTGCTCCAAGAATGAAATCACATCTGGCTTAGAAATGGAATGTCCTGCTTACAAAGAAAAAAATGGCACACGATGTAGAAGAAAACATCTCTCAGTTAAAAGGTCAAAATAATATTGAAAAAGATTTTCTAGAAGAGAAA